AATCGGTTGATGATTTTGCGTATTATGTTATATTTGTATATCACTTCTCTAGATACATCTGGCTATATCCTTTAAAATGAAAGTCTGATGTTTCTTTGATATTCCCCCAATTTAAAAGATTAGTGGAGAAATTTTTTGGTCTGTCAATTGTCTCAGTGTATTCTGACAATGGGGGGGAGTTTATTAAATTAATACCACTGCTTAATGCTTATAGCATTTCGCATTTTACAACTCCTCCACATACACCTGAGCACAATGGCATGGCTAAATGGCGAAACAAGCATGTCATCGAAAATGGAATGTCACTTCTCCATGCTGCTTCTTTGCCTTCCTCATACGGGCTGTCGTCTATTTAATTAATCGCCTTCCAACACCGGTGTTAGGTAATCAATCTCCTTACCAAATTTATTCAAACAAACACCCAACTATGATAAATTACAACTGTTTGGTTGCTTGTGTTTCCCTTGGTTACGTACTTACAACACACACACACACACACACACACATACACACACACACAAAACTTGAACCAAGGTCACCTTGCATTTTCTTAGGATATTCGAACACACAGTCGGCTTATAAATGCCTCGACTTTGTCTCAAAGCGACTCTATTTATCAAGGCATGTGCGTTTTATTCCTAATGTCTTTACTTCTAGAGAGTTATAAGTCAAGTCTGATAATGTAACTAAGAGCCTGTCTTCCAACCAACCAAAACTTCTGTTCAAGTCACACAAATCATCCACAGAGTCGGTGTCTAGAGCTCCTTCTGCTTTGCCTGCTCCGTCCACTCTTGTTTTGTCTCCAACTGCGTTTCTCCCGCTGGACCTTGCCTCACCGCAGTCCGTCTCACCATCTACAGGTTCCGGCAAAAACAGCCAAAAGGCATTCCAAAGTCCCTCGTCTTCTTCGTCCCAATCCAGCCGTGTATCGTCGCCTCGTTCGTCACCCGTTGTTTCTGCCGACGTTAAACCACCTTCACAGCTAGTCACCACCTTCGATTCTTCTTAATAACGTGATGGGTTGCGTCGCTCCACTAGGTCGCGTCTCCCCAACCCCAGGTACACTGACTATGTCATCAACCTGACTACAGCCCATCCCCTACTGCCCACTATAAAGCCTTCTACCATCACTCAGGCCCTAAAGGATGCTCGATGGAGGAAAGCTATGGACGAAGAGTTTGATGCAATTCACCGTAACATAACATGGCGCCTGGTCCCTCACGGAGTTGGGGTCCCGATTGGTTGTAAATGGGTTTTCCGTGTCAAGCGTAAACCTAATGGCTCAGTTGATCGGTACAAGGCACGCCTTGTTGCAAAAGGCTTTTTACAGACTGCTGGCCGGGACTATTTTGAGACCTATAGCCCGACTATGAAACTGGTAACTATCAGGTTGGTCCTTTCTAGCGCGTTGAGTAACCGTTGGGGCTTGCGGCAACTGGACATTAACAACGCGTTTTTGCATGGCACGTTACGTGAGGAGGTCTACATGGAGCAGCCACCGGGTTATGTTGATCCTCTGTATCCAACCCATGTCTGCAGGTTAACAAAATCCCTATATGGCCTGAAACAGGCCCCGAGAGCATTGTACAAGGAGCTCTCGTTGTTCCTGTAGCAGTGTGGGTTCATTAAGTCACGAGCTGATGCTTCACTCTTTATTTATTCAGCCAACGGTGTAATTGTCTATTTTTTAGTATACGTCGATGATATTTTGTTGACAGGTAATAATTCTACCTGGCTTGATCGTTTGTGGGGTCCTTGTCAGCGCAATTTGCTCTTAAAGACCTTGGTACCTTACATCATTTTCTGGGTGTGGAGGTCATTCCTACTAGTGATGGAGTTTTCCTATCACAAAGCCAGTATATTACTGGCATACTAACGCAGTTCAAAATGGATGGTGCAAAGGATGTTTCAACACCGCTGGCTACTTCGGAGAAGTTGGTACCGCTACAATCATCTGATACTACGACGGATGCCACTCAATTTCGTCGCTTGCTTGGTCTAATGCAGTATTTGGTGATCACATGTCTGGATGTGGCGTTTGCGGTCAACAGGCTCTCGCAGTTCATGCATGCACCCTCGGAGTTACACTGGCAAGCCGCTAAACGCCTATTGCGTTATCTCAAAGGAACAGTTTGTCATGGTTTGTTCCTACGTGCTGGTCAGCCCCTTTCGTTGCGGGTGTATACTGATTCAGATTGGGGTGGGTGTACCACTGCTGGTCGTTCCACTACCGCGTATCTGGTGTACTTGGGCAATAATCTAATTTCTTGGAAGTCTGCGCGTCAGAAGTCTGTCCCGCGATCGTCCACAGAAGCTGAGTATCGGGTTCTGGAAAATGCAGCGGTTGAGGTCCTTTGGGTCAAGAATATGTTGCAAGAGTTAAAATTGGGGCTTATTAAGCCTCCGGTACTATTTTGTGACAACTTGAGCGCCACGTACGTTTGTAAGAATCTCGTGTTTCATTCGCGTATGAAATATCTAGCATTGGATTACTTCTTTGTTCGGGATTTGGTTGCAAATGGCACGCTGGTTGTGCAGCACGTTTCATCTTCGGCTCAATTGGCTGATCTTCTCACCAAGCCACTTGGTCGTCACCTTTTTCTTCAGCTTCGGTCTAAGATTGAAGTTTCCGACGGATCCTCCATCTTGCGGGGGCGTGTTAAGCCTATGTGTTGCTAGAATGACATTCAATTATTATTTGTTCTATTTATGTTCCTTTAGACTAGTTATGTTTGAATAGTGGTTACAATTCCCTAATATTTACTCTCCTCTATGTACTATATATGGATGATAGTTTACATCAATAAAGCTACAGTTCATTCCCTCACAGGATGTATCATATCTAACGACTAAGTAAAGAGTATCCTCGACCAGGGACTAACATAGCAACAAATGTGTAGATTTGACATGAATGAGACAAAAATGTGTTGATTCAAAATCCTAGACAAAAATGTGTAAAGTACTAAGGTCATTACCTTCTTTTCAAAACCCTATTTGAAAAGAAGGTAATTGGACTACCTTCTTCTATTTTTTTTTATTTTTTTTTGCTTTAGCCAAAAAATGCCACAAACTTTTCACATTCTTTTTTAAAAAGTTTTTTTTACTATTTTGATCATTGCTTCTTTTTATAATTCCAAATGTATCATTTATTTGTTTTGTATGTAATTTTTTATTTTGTTAAATACTTATATTTAAAGTTTGTATTATTAAATATAAATTATACCATATTAAATATCTCATTGAGACGATCGAAAAAAAACTAATATTGAATATATATTAATTAAAATTTCAAATACATCAAACATAACTAGAACATAATAAAAATTAAAATACATACTACATAGTATTGATATTAGAAAATACAACACAATTTTCAAAAATATTGTGAAATTCATTTTTAAAAATAATTAATTAATGTTAATAAAAATTACTCCCGCCGTCAAATTTTTTTTTGTTTTCGATTAATTATTGGTTACTCCGTATTAGTTTTAATTGATAAATTTACGGTCAAAATTTTTTCGTAATTTGATAAACTAATTATGTACGTTCAAAATTTTGATTAATATATATTCAATATTAGTCTTGTTTCCATCGTCCCAATGAGATATTTAAAATGGTATAATTTATATTTAATAATATAAATTTTAAATATAATTATTTAACAAAATAAAAAAAAATACATATAATTGAGGAGAGAGAATAAGGTATTCTTAATACCTTCCTCTCTTTCTTTTACGCTTATCAGCTTTTCTACTGTTTTTTTTTTGTTTTCTTTTTTTTTTTTTTTTTTTGTTAAAGAAGGTAACCTTCTTCTCCTAAACCCTAATAAGAAGAAGGTAATCAGATTAGTATTTTACATATTTTAGTCCACCTTTTTCTTTCTACCTACTTTTGTCTCTTTCTTATCAAATCTACACAAAAAAAAAAAAAAAAAAAAAAAAAAAAAAAAAAAAAAAAAAAAGTCAACAACCCAAATAATCATGTTTGGGATCAATTAATCTTGATGTTCCCAATAAAAGCACATAGGATTCACAACATGCTGATACCTTAGCTTGCTGCAACGGCAAAAAAAAAAAAAAAAAAAAAAAAAAAAAAAAAAAAAAAAAGTCGGGCCAAGGCAAGGTACCATCAACATAACCCAACAAATTCTACCAACGTAAGAATGAGACCAGTACCTATATTAACGACATTTATGATTGTCTTGTGGGAGGATGAATCGCCTTGGTCAACAACATTGATCTCTGAAGAGGTGTTGTGCTAATGGGTCGCCATGAACGTTGTCGAAAAATGAGGTTAGATGAGAGCAATGATGGTAAAAAGAAAAAAAAGAATGAGGATTCCCCACTTTAAAATTGATACCATATGAGAGTATAAAGAAAGAGACTTTATATGTGTATTGTATTATGCAATGACATGTACACGTATGTATAGGAAGCATGTACAAATCCTAATACAGGCCCTAGTACAAATTTTTTTTAAAAGTACAATCAAACTCAAATACTTGATTTATGATATATTCTTGATATAAATACTTCTCCTAATATGGTGCCATTGCATTCCTCCTGGACAGAGGTGGAAACTTTCGGAATATATTTAGTGACACCTGGGACCACCTATTGTGCAAACATCATATTCCCTTCTATTTATAATTTTCATATTAAATTACTTTAAAGTATTTTACTACAAATTTATAATCATCACAAGGAGCAAAAGTTGAAGAGGTGTTTGATAAATAACTGTTAGCTCTAATTGAGTTAGTGAATTTAACTAGTTGGTTGATAGCATTAGCTAGTTGTAGAAAAGTGTCTAAATTAACTATTAGCTGATTATATGCAAAATAATTTTCTCAAAAAACTGATCGAAAAAGCAATAAGTTATTACAAAAAAGTTAATTAATCAAACACTCATTGATTGTTTAAACAAATCAAAGAGTTAATAGTTAAATATCAAATAAGTCAAAATTTACTAATAAGCTAACTATGATACCAAACAAGCCTTAATTTTTTTTGGTAAATAAGCCAATTTACATTTATATTGTTCAATCATGAATACTTTTCAAGTCAAACAAATTCTGATCAATCCATATTTTACAACCAAATAATGTCTCCCTCCCCTTTTCTCCTCTCTCAAGAACAATATTGATTCCCATGCACCAAGTGACCAATGTATTGTTTCTCCTACTTTCTTTCTCCATCATATTTTATGGAGAGTACAGATCCAAGTCTTCCAAAATATACACAACCCTGAAATTTTGCTTGCTTTTAATTTTCATATGGCTGAACTATACAATACCACCAGCTTTCACGAGGCGCTTCTCCCACGTTCAACATCACCTGTTTTTGAAGAAGCTAAGGTCCCAACGACGCATCAAACCGTCCATGATGTTGCCAGATGGATTCTTTACGACAGTCACTGTGGCTTTTGTGTGATCGACCATGTCAGTGCTAGACGAACTCTGGTTGCCAACTGAAGTATTTCTGCGAGGAGACGCCTTACTGCTTTCGGGTTCCTTTGCTGGATTGTGCCCATTGGCTATTCCCGCAGCTCGGGGCTTGGTTTCGGGTTCCTTTGCTGGAGTGTGCCCGTTGGCTAGTCCTGCAGCTGGGAGCTTATTCATGGGCACACACTGTTTTGATGTGGAAGAGTCGAGAATATTTTTTGGGAATGGATCTGGTTGTCCGTTGCTTGACTCAACATGAGGGGTTTTCGACACTTCTAAGTCTTTCAGTGACTCTAATACTGCTTCCATGAACATCTGAGACAAAAGTTAATGTGACAAAAAGCGGGGGATCAACAATAGCATGTAAATCATTGCGTGCAGAATAAAAATCGTTAAATGTGCTTACCCTTTCTTCTTCCTCCATACTGCTTGGAAAATCTGCCAAATTATCGAGTGTGTATTCCACATACTCGTCATCATCTATTGAAACAGGCACGTTACGACCATATGCATCTCCGTTGGAGAGTTCAAAGCTGATCATATTTGAAGATGATGGGGTAAGATCAGCTCGACTTTGTTCTTCCTGAAAGGGGTATATATAGTTTGGTTACAACAGCACAAACCACCCTCTTGCTGAAAAGTGTTCGACTTTAATTAATTTTATCAAATGTCAACTGAAGCAATAATCCCCACATTTCTAAAGCACCTAAGAAGTATATTAAAACTAGCAAGAGTTGAAGTGAAATGCCATCATCTTGGTACTTTTCCTTGTGGAATTCTGCCCAAATCATCCCAGGTGATTTAACAGAAATGTGGGATTTGAGAGAATACCTTGTCTCCATCCTGTTTATCGGTTGAAGAGATGTTTGATGGGACCTGAAATGAGGTCAAAGGAGATACGGTTAGCCAGCAAAAATTACACAAAAGCAGAGTTGCACAACAAATGTTCCTAAGATTTCGGGCAATCATCCCTCGGACATTATATGGAAGTAGCTTCGACTGATACCTCTGTCTTACTCATAGGCCTTTTGGAGCGAAGTTGCTTAATGCAATCCTCAGTGCTACTTGTCGCTCCACCTGATAACATTCACACCAATCAACTAATTTCGGAAACACACCAAACTTCTTGTCAGATTGACAACAACAACACTAATAATAGTAACAATAAGAACCCAAATGGACAATCAGAAAATCATCAGAATAGAATAGGCAAGCGCATGGTGCAAGCAACAGAAATCAAAAGCGGGGCCCATACCTACAGGGGCAGTTAGAACATCCTCTGGAGATCCCACTTCATGGATGTTACTCCAACTACTCTAAAGGCGACAACAGTTAATTCTAATCAGTCACCAATACAGCATATAGCAGTATACTTACTGGTTTCGAATCAATTGTGAATTACATGATAGTAGCAAATTTTACCTTGCCAAAATAATCTTGTGGCATGTCAAAAAATGTACCGCCTAATTCATCATCTGGAGGCTGTAAAACATTATTGAAAAAGATACTTATAGAGTCGAAATAGAATTGAGGACGCGGAGAGTTATGATCACCCTCAAATTTGATAATATTCTTGTCACCCTGCCAAAATTACCATTCAATAATCAGTTCACAGAAAAGAAAAAAGGTGAATCTAAGATGCATTTTGTACCCTATATTTTATAGCCAATGCTTTGACAGTGATAAAATAATCAACATCCTTTCCATATTAAAAGTATATATTCTCTCTGATAATAAAATCATCTTCATTTTTCTTTTGCATGTGGAGAGAGTTCTTTTTTGGTGGTTTGTTGGGGGAGGGCGTGGAGAAGTGACTCAGATTTCCAAATTCAGATTGGTAATGCAAACGTCAGCTAAACAATATATTCTTTTGGGTGAATATATTATGTAACTAAGCCTTTGTTCAGTATTTATAAACGTTGAACCCAGTCATTATTTGCATGATAATGGAAAATGAATAACGTTAAGTAGATACCATACCATATATGCATCAAATATGCGATCAGAATGATGTGGTCGTATAAAATCATCGTCACAAGCATGACCCAGCAAGGCGGGTACAAAGCAAGCCTTGGCAACCTACAAGGAAGGATCGATGAAACCAAAGGTGTTAAAAGAGGAAATACTATTAGCGATACATTGATTACATAAAGCTTACAACCCCAATAAGGAATTAAGGATCATCTCAAAATGTTCTATAATAATAAAATAACCAGCTTGCATTTAATAGTGATATCAGAGTTTTATGGTAAATCAAACACAAACCCAAAATTAAAGAAAATTGCAACTAAAAAGGACAACTTTATTCTAGATACCTTGATAGTGTTCAATTCTGTTATGTCAAACTTTGCCTTTTTAAGAACCGCTTTCCGCATGTACTGAATTGCAAACTTAACCTACATTCAAAAGACCCCCAAAAAAAAAAAAAAAAAAAAAAAAAAAAAAAGGTTAAAAGAGTATTGAAACAGGCCCCACCAAGTACAGGGGTTGGGTGTCACATTTATAACCCAGGGACATTTATAGCATCTCCAGTAGATCAAATTTAGAATATGCAAATTTGGCATCTTACTGTGAATTTGGGAAGCCGTATTTTGTAAGTGTCAACAAGTTCCATCATCAAATCAACCAAATCAGAGAAAGGGCTGTCCAAAACCATTCCGGCAATAGAAGGATCCTCAGCTCCATACATCAGACTGCAAAAACAAGTGCATCAAGTTAATAAATAAGACCAAAAAAGGCAGGACACTTAGATCTCTGCATATAAGACAATAAATGATTATTCAGAAAATGGATATAATATGTATTTAAAGGTAACTTTGGCAACTGAAGATCCTATATATGCATATTCCTTTTGCTAGACATAACAAAAAAAAAATCCGCAACCAGTATACAATACACAAGTCCTGGATGAAACAAGAATATGATCGAAATAAGCAGAAAAGAAACACCTTGTAACAGCACCCATTGATCTACCCCACAAGCCAATTAAAGAAACATTTCCATCTTGCCGTAAATACTCAACAACAGCTTTAAGATCATCTTTCTGTAAAACAGGCAAAATACTGTGATAAGTCAACAATGGTGAAAAGTGGCATTAGGTAACCACCAACTTTAAGTAACAGAAAAGGATTCAGGTGAATGCAATAGTTTGTCTGAACTCTGGCGTAAAAAAATATTGAATTCTCAAAAAGCAAAGAAATAGAAAATAACTTGAATGAGATGCATCTTTAAATATATCTAAAAATTTTCTGCAATTTAATTTTGTTTCCAGGGTTCCTCTTAAAGTATTATTGTTATTGTTCTTTATTCAATTAGCTGAGATTGTAGCTTTTTCCTATTGAGAGAAGCTTTCCAGAAAGGATTCAATTTCTGATATACTGCCAAGCATAACTACATATGTAGCATTGACTAAAAGGTTGTTCCAAGAATTGAAGCACTGGCTTATAGGAAAAGGGGTGAGTTAATAAAAATTGCTAAAGGTCAAATCAACTGTGTGAAGCTCCCACATCATGCACAAAAAAACACTTACTACTGTCACCAATGTTAAAGGTCAAGATTTGTTAATAATACCAAAGTTACAGATCAAGATTTGTTAACCAGTGTTCACGAATAATGAATGGACAACACCATTTCAAATATCCAATAACGATTGTGCGTTCATGAATTTTTACAACCTGATAAGAGTTTGTATAGCATTTCAAGAGTAAAGTTGCTGACAAAATGGAGCATGCTACTATGAGATCAAAATTCAAATTAAATAATAATAATAATAATAATAATAATAATAATAATAATCATAATAATCATAATAATAATAAAAGAAAGAACAAGAAGAAGAAGAAGCAGCATGTTGCTTAGCCACTTACTTCATTCCATCCCAAAGTAACATGCTCTCCCCCAGACAGTCCAGATCCAGAAAAGTCAAGGGTGAATACAGTAATATTTGATGGCAATAATATAATGGCAGCTTCGCTGGCATCTGCTCGACAGCCACTGTCAGAGGATCATGAAAAAAGTATTTAGTAACAAGTAACAACTAAGTTTTTTTAAATGAAGAATATAGGGTACATGGGCACTATTACACGCTTAACCAATATAAGGACAGATGAGCTGCGGAGGCCATTCTCATTACCATTCAAAATAAACAAATAAACAGAAAGGCCAATAGGTTGAGGTAAATACTTTTCCTATATTGATTATTGTAGAGTATAACTCATTAAATATGCTGAAAAGGAAAGAGAGTTTGCATTCAAAATAGATGCAGATTGAAAAAAACGTACAATTGGATGTTTGAAACCAGTTAATTTCAAGTGAAATTCCCTTATCCCCAGAAAAACGAACAGGTAAAGCCGTAAAGGTTACCACTTTTCCTATAGTCTATAGGACAACTCACACATAATTTGCTAGTTGAATATGCTGGAAAGAGAACATAGCTCGCATTCAAGAGATGTGCAGATTGAGAAAATGTATAGGCACAGTAAGCAACTAAGATCACAAGTTCTTTCTAGTGACTCATCAAAAGTTTGAAACCAGTTTCAAGTGTCATTCCCTGCTGAAGTATTAACTTACCAGAACATTGCATGAAGGACAACCAACAGAAAATGAATACTGACATACACTTATTGCTAACATGCAAAATGACCATCTTTCAATTATCATTCTGAACCCTAGTTCTTGTTGAATTTGGAAGATGGAATGGCCTGGCGGGTGGAGAATAATATCACCCGCCAGTTAGGCGTGTTGAAATTGAGGGATTGATACTTTGATAGGTCTGGCGGGTGGAGAATAATCACCCCCCGCCAGTTAGGCGGAAGCAAAATATGTGAGAACCAAAGAACAAGAGAATAAAGAGAATATATTATAATGAAAGATTACAATAGATTTCTTTATATGTGTATCCTCTATACTTCTATGGAGCTCTATATATACTAAACTAGATACTAAATTAGTCCTAATAGGAATAGGAAACTACTAATAAGAATAGGAAACTAAGACAACTTTCCTAATATTCAACAAGGCGGAAGCAATATGAAGAATCAAGGAATAGGAAATGTATATAAGACTGAAATTATATTAGTATATTCTCTGTTTCTAATACAGAAACACAGTACATATATATACACAAATACATAACAGTAAGTAACTACCCATAACTGACACCTATTCATAAACAGACACAACCCTATAGATAAACTAACTCTTTAGTTTTCAAACACTCCCCCTCAAGCTGGAACATCTAGAAGTTCCAAGCTTGGATTAAAACATACACTCTACATTACAAATGAAGATTAAAAGCAGCTAGAGAATAACAGTGTTGGATGACTTCGGAGGAACAATGCTATAAACAACCCTTGGGAATGAAGGCACCAGGGCAAAGCTTGTCACAAACAACCTTGGGAATGAAGTCACCAAGGGCAAAGATTAACACGAACACCCTCACAGCAACATAAGCATTCTAGGATTTGCCAATCGACAATCTCCATCAAGAACGGCAGAGCAACCAAATCATGAGCAACAAAGGGGATGTAGTAGAGCCCATAGATTGTTGTATGAATACCGAGAAAATCACATGATTGTTGTTTATACCTCTTATAGGATAAGTGAATAACAAAAGAAGCTTCCGTAAATAAACAAGGTGCCAAACATGAAAACCCTAGGGACTAAGTATGGTATTATACCGAATATAAAGAAACAAATACGGTTATACCAAAAACACCCCGGAAAGAGGTTTGGCAACCAACCCAAAAAGCCTTCAAACTTCACCAAAAGGTCCAAGGGCAAAACAACATTCTGGAATTTTCACCGGAGAATACATCACAAGGAAAAATACAATTTTGATGTTTGAAATACCCTAGGGAAGTAGGCTCTGATACCATGTTGAATTTGGAAGATGGAATGGCCTGCGGGTGGAGAATAATACCACCCGCCAGTTAGGCGGAAGCAATATGAAGAATCAAGGACTAGGAAATGTATATAAGACTGAAATTATATTAGTATATTCTCTGTTTCTAATACAGAAACACAGTACATATATATACACAAATACATAACTGTAAGTAACTACCCATAACTACCCATCTGACACCTATTCATAAACAGACACAACCCTATAGATAAACTAACTCTTTAGTTTTCAACAGTTCTCCATTCTACACTTATTTAAAACTCAATCACCCTTTAATAGGCATATTTTCACAAACCTGTTTCCATGACAGTAGATTACACAGGGCAGAGGCTTTCCTTCAGGACAAATGATAGGTATGTAATGGCTACATTTAAGAGCATCACCCCGACTGTTTTTAACCTGCATTATGTAAAAGCAATTCAACTAAAAGTTTAGTAACTGAAATTCCAAATACTACAATAGATAGCTCTTAGTTTGATAAAGAATAAAGTAACAGCTACAGTTCATGGGAAAATAAAGAAAAGCAGCACAGAAAATAAGGCCAATAGTGTTCTAGTTTATCTAAGCTGGTCTTGGCCAGGCCAGGAAAGATGAGCATCCCTCAGTCCCTCACAAGAGGCCAGGAATATTTACAATAGGAGTATAGGAAGAAAAAAAAAAAAAAAGAGTTATTAAATGAGAAGCAAAAGTTTCAGTTACAGAGGACACACTGTTAAAAAAGTAATGAAAAAGCAAAATGAGCTAAAGAGAACCCTCCAATCCCTTTGCAATATGAAAGAGCCAATCTCAAAAGCTCCAGCAGCTTCAGCCCATAAAGACGCATAAAATAAACTAGAAATGTTTGTCCTTTAAAGGTAGTAAACTAAAATGCCAGCAAACATGATTTAATCAGATTTGTCCAGCCAATTGAAGGACCCTTCCAACCATCAGTTCAACTTCCCACATCTCTTAACTAAATGTCAGAAAAAAGGGGAGATATTTCCCTCTAAAGGTATGAATAAGAAGGTAATGAGAAAGTTAAGTAATCTGTATCTCACAACCAGACCTAATACGCCAAATGAGAAAGATATTAATTACTCCATATAAATTTTTACCCCAGTAAACACTCTTTACTATATTAATCTTATGGCCTAAATTCTCAAACGCCCATGAAATTTTCATATAAATAAAACACACTTATCAGTGTAAGGACTAATATCACTTTGAAAACCCTAGCATTATGCTAGCACCAATCTATCAGTCATTCAGATTCCAAACAAAACAAAATATCCAAGAGATTGGACAACCTTTGGTATAAAAAATTCTTACATTGAGGTAAATTATCAAGAAGACAGCCTAATCATGTACAATGAGAAGTTAGTCAAGATACAGAAGAATCCCCTAATATATACTGTATATGATTGAGCAGAAAACCTATGCCACTAGAGTGCAAAATAAGAAGAGGTAACAAAGAAGAGTACAAAGTACTACACAAATAAGCTCCTATCAAGGTTAATCTTCCTCCCTAACTAAAAACAAAATAGCCTTTCAACACATCAAGGCACTAGCCTTTCCAAACATCAAGGCACAATTCTCCCTACACTTGAATCCAAAAGGAAACATCTTTTAATTCAGTTTACACAACATATATGATATATCATAAGCCAAGTAACTCAACTATATATTCTCCGACCAATCCATTCAGTTATAAGGGCAGGAAAATTAACTTTCATACACTATCCGAGGTCAATAACTTACTGTCTCAACTATCAAATACACAGTAGACATAATGAATGCCAGTCAAATGATGGCCAAAATAAGATATATCTTTGCTTTCTGCTATGGATAGGCCGATGGCACAAAAACTTGATGGTTATTATTATTATTATTTTTTTAATATTTTCATTTGTTAAGGATCTTCCGAGTTTATTTCTCATGGGGGTTAAGGGTTTTATGGTCAGATATCTACCAAGTTACTTTTCAAGTACATTTCTATGTACATGGGGTTGTGCCTCATCTATGTAATTATGTTGCACTTAGAAAAATGCTCTTTACCTTTTAAAAAGATAATAAGAAATTTTCAGGCCATCAGTAATAGAGTATGTGCTATTAGTCAAGCACTGAAGTACCAGGTTCAGTTAATGAAGGCATCAAAATATGGACAAGATAATGGTGAGAACTTTTAAACTGATCATGACTTCAATATATCAGGCTGTACCTCCAAATCCTTCCGTTGGTACCACTTCCCTTTGAGCATGAATTCTTCATCTAGTAAATCATTCTTTGGGTCATATTCAGCTCTGAATTCCAGAAGATCACTCATTAATATCAAATGAAATTTTATCACAAGAAAAGAAAGAAGAGACAAAGTGGAGTCCACTAATTAGCCAGGTCATAAGCTCTGTTGCAACCATAATCCTTGTACGAAAATGAATAAGCACCAAACATTTAAATTCTGTTTAAGCAAAGGAGTTAGCTCTATGATGTACCCTACCTTGGTAATTAACTGAATAGATCACAAGAGCAATAAATTGAACCAATTCCAGCATACATAAGCACATAGTGGATAGTCAAAAATAAATGTGGTAACAAAGATTTCAGAGATAGCCAAAATTGATGCTTACTTGAGTTACTTCCCCTAATAATAATATTTAAAACTAGTCAAAAAAAAAAAAAAAAAAAAAAATTTACAAGGGGTTTTCAATTCCTCAGTCTTTGGGTGGAAGAACTGAAAAGCCATACTCCTCTGAATGATTAAACTATCCTCCTAAAACATTTTATCTTTTCATACTCCTCTGAATAATTGAACTATCCTCCTAAAACATTTTAACTTTTCAGCACATGCTCCTATTAAAGGACAACTAATAAATTTTTTGCCAAAAAATCCATACTTCAATGTGAATTTTCACATTTTACAAATTGGCAGTACTTACAGAGCACTCCTATTGCATTCAGTGTGGAATTAAATGGACATGGAGATACAAAAAGGGAATACACATATTGGTTTCTTGGAAACATCAATTCCAACTTGATCTACTTAACATCACACTTAGACGTCAAATGCGACAGCAGATTAATTCCTTATACAGTTAGACATACTTAGGCAGTTCAGATTAATGTCACATTCATACATCAAATGCAATAGCGGAAATTTGAATCCTATGATTAATGTCACATTCAAACATCAAATGCAATAGCGGATTGAATCCTATACTTAGACAGTTCAGATTAATGTCACATTCATACATCAAATACAACAGTGGATTCAATACTAAACTTAGGCAGTTCAGATTCCAATAGGTGTTCCAATGAAGTAGAAATTGCAAAAGGCACCAAGCAATAGTAAAAGACTAAGCAATACATTCTTTAGACCATATACTGAATACTCAATTATTTTAAGAAAAAAAAATATAGTTTCCAACTCAAATCAATTCATTCAAAATTAGATGCACTACAAGCAAACTAATTACTGCAAAGTACAAAGAAATCTCATAATAAGTAAACAAATCTTAAATCCAGAGATTTTAGAATGAAATTATAAATCCAACTCCTAAAAGTAATAAATCTAGCAATAGATTCATGCTCAAAATAAAATTACAGTAATAAAAAAATCCCATCCGCAAGAACATAACTAAATTTTCACCAAAAAAGCCACCCAGATTACGAATCAATAGTAACCCAGGACAAATTAGACAACCCCACTGCAGAAATTTGACAAAAGATCCAAAATTTAAGAAAACGATTCTAACTCTGAACAACATATACAAGAAGAGATACAATTATGTGTAGAAATATAAATATAATTAGCATTTATGTACTGGAAAAATTGAAAAGGAAAGAAAGAGAAAATTCTTTAGAACCTGGGTGGTCTTATAATGAAGTTGACAAGCTGTTCCATACAGATTCAATGGCCAATCGATCTTCTCTCTCTAAATATAAATGTATAGAGAAATACACTGGTTACATGTATGTATTTACATTATATATAAGATAGATAGATATATATATAATTTATATGCATGGGTTAAGGTGGGTAGAGAGAGAAAGAGGAATAAAAAGGGGAGGGAGCACTGTGGTAAGAGTTATGGGTTTGCTTTCAGAGGAGAAGGTCAGAAGAGGAAGAAACGAAGCGCTTTTGTTTGGCTTCTCTTCTCTGCTCTCTATTTCACTTTTCTTTTTAATTAAATTTATTTTAGGCTGACACAAATCCGAAACCGTGTTTTTCACTTCTTCATCACTTCTAACCCGTGCCGATCGCCTGCCTGCCATTTCCAATTTGCAAGAATCTCTTTAAAACTACACTTCTAATCTCTATCCCTTACCCCAAACTACGGAGTAATTGTTAATTTAATTTCCTAATAATATTATATATATATAGGTATTGTATCATACTGTAATTCACTCGCGCGATGCACGGGAAAAAATTATGTTATTATAAATATAAATTAAAAATAGAAAAATTAAAATGTTTTAAATTATTTAATATAATAATATTTTTAAGCTTCCATTGGTCATCAGGACTATGTGGTCTAATGGTACTTGGGTTAGACTTTCATGTGGAAGGTTGTGAGTTTGAGCCTTAGTGGAGGTGTTATTAGTTCTTTGTGTTTCATTAGGTTGAGAAAGCTTCCATTGGTCAAGTATTTATTATTTTTATAGAATACAAAATCTATCTATACTATATATAAAAACAAAATCCTAAAATTTTAACTTCCCGCCCAATTCCTAAAAGATCTCTCTTCCTAATAAAATATATTGATTTCTACTTTCCCATTCGTACAATAATTCTGCGTTAAAATTCTATTCTAATATTATAAAATAGTGTAATACAATCTATCTATACTATATATAAAAACAAAATTCTGAAATTTTAACTTCCCGCCCAATTCCTAAAAGATCTCTCTTCCTAATAAAATATATTGATTTCTACTTTCCCATTCGTACAATAATTCTGCGTTAAAATTCTATTCTAATATTATAAAATTGTGTAATACAATCTATATCTATACTATATATAAAAACAAAATCCTGAAATTTTAACTTCCCGCCCAATTCCTAAAAGATCTCTCTTCCTAATAAAATATATTGATTTCTACAATAATTCTGGGTTAAAATTTTATTGTAATATTATAAAATTGTGTAATACTATTCCTATTCTAATCTATATCTATTTTATATGTCAGTGTTGCAAAAATCGTGTCGCTGGCCGCGGCGAGAAAGGCCGGAATCGGCTTCCTCAGCGGCCGCCTCGCCGGCTGAACCGGCCTTTAATTTTTTATTTTTTTTTAAGTTGTAAAGTGTCAAAAGTTCGTCAAGGCATAACTTTTGACTTCGTTGTCCATTTTGGACAAATGTTTTTTTGAAATCGCGTATTTTTTCGAGATCTATCCACCGCAAACTGCCCTAGGCGATTTGGCCCACCAATTTCTTAAAAAAAATACTTTATTAAAGAGTTTCTGAGAAAAAACTATGAGAACCTTATGTTTTATTAATGAATTTTTAAAGTTTTTAATTAAACAATTGTCCCGTGCATTATTTAATAATCTTTCTTTATAATTGGTCAAATTATTTAATTATGGTAAATTGGGGAATAATTAATGATGGTAATAGAAATCCTAGAAGAATATAGAATTGAACAATATTTAATTATTGTTATATTATTATTGTGACTCACGGAATACAAGAGTTAATGCCATTTTTGGTCCTAGACTTATTGGGACATTGACACTTTTCATCCTCCACAATAAAAATTGTCACTTAGTAGCCACTGTTATTGATCGTTGGACAGTTTTGATCCTCCGTCAATGACGCCGTTTGTTGACCGTGAATTAGAAGGGTTTTTCTGTCTTTTTATGTTCTAATCCTTGTATTTCTCAATCCATTGGTCACTGCTACATCCATTTCTTCAAACTGAGGTTATCCGCTTCAGTCCTTTCTAACATTAAGAAACCATCTTCACCCAACTAACAATCACGAATTTTACATTTGACATCAATCTCAAGATAATGGAAACAAGTGCAGTTGGAATAGAAAGGGCGTTAGTCCATGCCTGTGGAAATTTTATCGAGCATACAACATAACTAGCAAAGTCAGGAATATCACCCAACCCCTCCCTTAACCTTTCTGCATCAACGATAATAGGTATGCCCCTACTCTTTGCCTCCTTCACTATAATCAAAGCAGTCTCATGCAGCCTTCCATCTAAGCAGACAATATTTACTCCAAGCGCTGAAGACAATTTTGATTTGGGTATGTAGACCCTCAGATATCATGGGTGGATATCCTGGAGTGAAAATGCACGTGCGAGTTTTTTTTTTTTTTTTTGGTTATCAACAATGACATATGTGAATGGTGAGTTTCTTCCTTTGGACACCATAAAAGATGTATCAACACCATCCCTTTCAAGCTCATCAAGTATTCTTTCGCCATGCGAGTCATCAGCAACCTTAGATATGATCCTTGGATTAAGACCAAGGCGAATTTTATCATCCGGATTTTATCAAAGCATTGCCAGTGTTACCACCTCCTTGAACCTCAAAGCTGGTGCTCCGAATTTTATCATCCGGGTTGGGGAATGAAGCTACAGCAGCCAGGAAGTCAACACCGGCCATTCCAACACCTCAGACAATGTGATTTTTGGGGAGCGGCGGATTCCACATTTTCAGCTTGAAACTTCAATGAATTTCAAGTATAATAACAAAGTTTTTGAGGTTGTGCACCAAGTAGTTGTGGTCAGAGAGAGATGGGAAGGATATTTGTGGCCAATATGGAAGGGAGGACTTACAGGTGCAAATTCTACGTCATGCCATCTACAACTACAACTGCTATTTACCATAGGAGGGTTCGCCGACCTGCTGCCCTCTCTGCTTCGCCGGAACCAAAAACCACCGGTGAAGGCCCCAACCTCGCCGGATCTGTTGCTGCACCGCCAGATCTGCCTTACTGGTACGTCGCCGGAAGGAGTTACTGCCTCGTATGCTCGCTGCCGTACCCACAACTCACCGGAGAAGAACCTCGCTGCTATCACTACCGACGGTTACTACTTAGCCGCCAAGTCTCGCCATCTCGCCTCACAGGAGTCACAGCATCGCTGGTCTAAACAAGATTAGAAGAATAAGACAAAAAAAAAAAAACAGAAAAGCCCTTCTAATTCACGGTCAACAAACGGCTTCATTGACGGAGGATCAAAACTGTCCAACGACCAATAACAGTGTCTACTAAGTGGCAATTTTTATTATGGAGGATGAAAAGTGTCAATGCCTCAATAAGTCTGGACCAAAAATGACATTAACTCCGGAATACAATACAAGAATATTTAATTATGGTTATATTATTATTGTGCCTCACAACCATTATATATTAATAGTACTTGAAAAGAAACTAATAATAATAATAATAATAATAATAATAATAATAATAATAATAATAATATAATAATAATAATAATATAAAGTAATTAAGTGTTAATAATAATAGTAAGAATATTAACGTAAGAGTTGTAACATAGAATAAATTGTAATAATTAATAACTATAGTCTAGGATTTAATTTGGAATTGTCAGGAAAGATAAACGACCTCTGGTGAAATTAACTCTTAAATAATTATATATCGATTTAAATATTCTTAATATATTACAACAATTCCATTCCGTGCATCGCACGGGTGAAAATACTAGTTACAATTAAAATTAAAATTATAATTATAATTTTGTATGGTTAATATAATCTCTAATTATGTGCATATTCAAATAAACTTACAGAGAGAATTTACATAATTACATTGATTTATTCTTAATTGTATTTCATCTATATTATAATTTTCACAATACGAATAATAACTAAGATAATTACATTTGGAAAGCAAATTGTTAAATTTTTGTATGTGTAAATTTAAACTCTAATTGAACACATTTTTTATATGATTATTATATAATATATAGCTATTTTATTTTTCAAAAGTATATTTTTTATATGATTATATAATATATAGCTATTTTATTTTTTAAATGTTGTGCTTTTTTTTTTTTCACAATACGAATAATAACTAAGATAATTACATTTGGAAAGCAAATTTTAAATTTTGTATGTGTAAATTTAAACTCTAATTGAACACAATTTTATATGATTATATAATATATAGCTATTTTATTTTTCAAAAGTATATTTTTTATATGATTATATAATATATATATATATATATATATATATATAGCTATTTTATTTTTTAAATGTTGTACTTTTTTTTTATAATAAAGGATGTTTTAGCATTAATTGTAACATTAATTATTTCCCAAATCATATAGCTTTATTATATAAAGGATAAAAATCAGTCATTACATCTGCAAAATTCTGACGGATCATATTAGATAAAAAAAATGCAGTGATATTTTCTAATTATTATTAATTTTACTATGCAAACTTGAACATTAACAGGGTGTTTGGTTGGAGGGAATTTAAATTCCATTCCCACCTAATTTCAAAAGCCACTAAATTTCTTAATTTGGTTAGAAGGAATTGCAATTCCACAGAATTGTAATTCTCTTATTTTCATGGAATTAAAATTTCATATTGATTGAGTATATATCCTGGGTTCAGGCTCCCCGTACACTCCGTACTCCTATTTATGTCGGGTCAAACGGTTCAGTCAAGGTCAACGGGTCAAGATCAAACCTGGCTTGATTTGACCTATATAAGGGCATTTGACCCTTCATTTTAGGGGGTCCCTTTTATTTTCACAAAACATTCCCTCTCTCTAGCTGGTAGCTCTCCCCTCTCTCTAAACAAACTCAAGAACAACATTAATGAAAGAGGTTCATCTTGCTATACACTCTCTTGTCTACTACATTGTTCATACACATACAATACATACTATACATACATACATACATCCTACGTACACGGGTATAAACAATATCACATGTACCCTTGCGATTTTAATTCCATGGATTTTAAAAATGAAAAAATGTAATCATGAGACAAAATTACCCCTTACTTTTTTTTTTAACTTAAAAATTAAAATTGGTGTCCACAACAACAATAGGCATTTTGGATTTTATACTACTTATTCCCTTTCAATTCTCATGTATATCAAACATTGGAATTAAAATTCCCAGTAATTATATTCCGTAAATCAAACACTGGAATTTAAATTCCTACTTTA